GGGGGCGCACAGCTGCTCCGCCGCCACCGCCGCCGCCTGCGCTCCGGCCCGGCCCGGCTACTCGGCGTTCACACTGCGCGCAGCGGCGCGGGCCCCGGGCCTCCGTTGCACCATAGCTGCTGCCGTCCCGCTCCCCACGCTGATGCTCTGCTCCGCTCCGGAACGGCTCGGCCCGGGCTCAGCGCCCTGCGCCCCGCGCACCCCAGCACCCGGCCGCTGTGCTCCGCGCCGAGAACGCTCTGCACCGCCCCGTGCGCCGCCGCGTCTCCGCAGTCCGCCGCCGCCCCGCCCCGGCCCGCCTCCGGCCCGCCCCCTCGGCGCCTCTTGCTGTCGCCGCGCGCTCGGATCCTCCGCTCCGCCTCTTGAGCTCCCGGGAGGCGGGGGATGGGGGGGGACACAGACACGGGCTGGGCACCTGGTCGTGTGTCTCAGGCGGTGGCAATGCTGGCTGCTGCGGACAGGGAATTGGTTCCAGCTTGCAGACTCGTGGGTGGTGCCTGGGCCCGGAGCCCAGGCATGGCTGACTCTTTAGGGCCTTGGGTGTTCAGCAGCCGGCGCCTTTTTAAAGGGCCTAGGCCTCTCGCCTTCCCTGGTCAGGGCGGCTGGTTTTCACCTGTGCTACTGGAATCCAGAGGCTTTGACCTTGCACTCTGAATTTCTAAATTTGAGAGGGCCAGGAATCATGCCGTTTGGGGCTACCAGCAAGGATAGGGAAAGGGAGGTTGAGGGTGTGGACTGGGGTCCTAAGTGAACCCCCACCTCCACCCCCACATGTGCTCCATTCCTCTGGTGTCTTTGGGACAGTGTCATCGAGCGCCTCAATAAATGAGCCAAAATGTCTGCAGAGGCCTGTGGACCAGCTGTATGTGGTCCCTTTCGACGGTGTTTGACCCTTTACCTACACCAATGAAAGTTATAACAGTTAGACCAACATTTAAAAACTGTGTTTTCATAAAGTTGAGACTCATTGATTTTGTGAATTGATGGGAGGGTCTGCAAACTTAATTATTATCTTCACAGTGGATGGCAGCCTGAGCTGTCTGCCCCACTCCCCAGGCCCTGGCACAAGTTAGGATCTCCATGACCCAGCCTGCAACACCTGGAGAAACCAGTCACCCAAGACTGTACTCAGTACTGAGTCCTTACCTGTACTCAGGCTTGGAGGCCTGTACAGGAGCAGCTGGGGTGGGAAGTAAATGACCTGTCCAGAATCCCACACAACAGGACAGTTAGGCCTCTGGGAGGCAGACCTGCTGCCAGGCCTGGGCTCAGGTGCCCACATCAAATCCTGCTGGGTGATGGCCTGGTCTGTTCTGCTAAAGACTGAATGCATTGCCTCTGCCTCAAGCTGGAGGGAGGGAGGGAGGGATGGAGGTGGAGAGGGAATGGCACTAGGGGTTTAGAGTGTTTACTGCACATCAAAAAAGGCTGTTGAAAATAAGATCAAACCAGGAGGCCTTCCCAGAAGTAAACCAAGAGAACAGAAAAAATACCAAAACCCCCAAATCCAGATAACTTGCAGGCCAAAGAGAAACTCTGCCTCAGAAAAGCAAGGAAGGTGGCACCTAAGGTTGTCCTCATGCCTCCACACCACACACACACACACACACACACACACGAATGTGCAGTTTTGCAGAGGGATTGAAGAAGTATCCACTTTGCTCAGCTGGGGACAGGACCCTGAACACACTACATAACCACCTAGAGTCTGGGGAGGGGCTATTCTTGGTGAGATCTAGTGCTCCTACACCCCTGTCCATTTTACTAGTTGTGTTGGAACTGTCCCAGGCCCAGGGAGGCCTGAGAACAGCTTGGTCAGGCTGTTCCAGTAATGATTTATTCTTGCTAGGCATGGGGGCACAGCAGTTTGCTGGGGGAGGAGGGTTCAGAGGGAGAGCTGCCTGATGTTTTTGCTGCTGACCCAGGGAGTATTCCTGCATGGGACTTGCTTGACACAGCAGCCCAGACCCACAGGACTTTGCTGCAAGCTAACCCACCAGGTGTTTTTACCCAGATGCTAATGTTCTGCCAAGTGGCAAATCCTAATTAAGGCTGCATTCTGTTGAGAGCCGTGAGTGCCAGGCACTGCAGATCCATTATTTCTGATCTCACCAGCAAGCCTGCAAGCAAAGGCTGTAATACCCATTTTAAAAAACAGAAAACCAAGGTTCAGAGGTTTGGAGAGCCTGGCTCCAGGGCCATCCAAACTCTTCCCTCTGTTCCCTGGCTATGTAGGCTGCTTTCCAGAGTGCTGTCTTTTCCTGCCTTGCATTCACCTCTGCTCCCCCCAAGCCAGAAGTAGAAGCAGCGAGGGTCTATAGGGTCATCTCTTGGCTCCTTATGGTGGTCCCTATTGCCTGTGGGCTCAGAGTGTTCAAGACAAAACCACCTGTGCTTGACTATTCCAATGGGGAAACTGAAGCCACTTGCAGGAAGAGTCTGTTGTTGGTCCCCAGTGGGTGGTTGTCCCTGTGACACACTGCAGTGGTAGTAGACACAGCAGCCTGGCCTGTGGATCGCCAGCATCTCCCCTAGAGAGACTGTTTACTCAAATTTTGTTCTTGTTGGAAAGGTTACTTTAAGCCCAGACTGCACACTTCCGTATCATCATAGTCACCCCCCAACCCACACCCCCAGCAGTGAGTGAATGTAAAACACTCCCAAGTGAAATCAGTTGAGTCCCAGTCTTAGGTTAAGTTGTGTTCATGATTTGGTGGGCTTTGGGAGTGAGGCAGCTGCAAGTACTTACAGCCTAGTTGGCTGTGGCTGGGCAGCCTTCGTCGAGCAATTCCCAGGATGGAGCCTTTGTCCTCCCCTTGAGAAACTGGCAGAAAGTGGACACCAGTGAGGTCAGGAAGGTGCAGCTGCCACTAGGCACTCAGAGGAAACTTCTACTTGCTCTTTCCTTTCTCTCTGTACTTGCTCTGCCCGGTGACCAAGGCTCCCCATAGCCCTAGGAGTGCACATGAACAGAAGCGGGCCTAAGAGCTTACAGGAGGCAGGGCTCAGTCTTGGTGTTTCAGAGTTCAGGTCTTATACTCCGCAGGTACATTTGTCCCCTGAAGACACGCTTCATAAATCTTTTAAACTGTAAGTATCTGTAAGCTAATCTGGAGGAAAAAGAAAAGAACACAGCTAGTGGCAGAATGTGATGATCCTATGAAAACCAGCCACTGTGCCTCTGCTGGAGAAAAGATAAAGATTTTCTCTTTAGTAAGCTAACATTACCCTACCCCCGCGACGCGTTATCAAAGTCTGAGAACCAGGAGATCAACCTCGGCGCCCCTCCTTCCCCGGCGTGCAGTCCCGCGAACCGCCGCGTGGGGTCACAGCCGCCGCTACTCGCTCCCTCGCCCAGCAGTTGACATTGCAAAACTGGGGGATTTTCCACACTTGCTTCCCTGGTTCTCTCGGCGGTCTGCCTATTGTTATTTCTGAAGGAGTGGAGGGGGCAGCCACGTTGTCTTCTGAGCCTCCCCTGGGGCCGCAGGCGAGGCGCAGAGAGGGGTTTTGTTCCGGGACAAACTTTTAAAGGGCACTCGGTGTCACTGCGATGGTCTGCAGCCAGAGGAGTCGGCCTCCATCCAGACCTGGCACAGCGGGCAGCAGGGCAGCCGAGCTGAGCCACTCTCGTGGAATCTGAACCCCACTCCCCACAGCTCCCACCCGCCTCCTGCCCCTGAGCCCTCTGCCTCTGCCGCCTGGTTTCCAGAAAGGGACGGGGGTTGTCTTGCCTTGGAGGTCCCAGCATCCTCCACCAGACAGCCTTCTCTCCTACTCCTTTCCCTCCTGTGGCAGAGCTGTCCAGTGGCCAGGTAGGCCTCTGCTCCAGAACCCTGCAGTACTGTGTTTCTTTCACCCTATCCTGCAAAGGCCTGCTTGCCCAGGCCCCAGGGGAATGCGAAGTAGCTGATAGTTGGCCTCCCTGTGAGTTGAAAGATTCAGACCTGAAGTGGCCACCAGCACCCCAGGGACTCCTGGTACCCCGCCTCTACCTGAGAGTTTGAAGGGCCTGTGAGTCTGAGGACCACCACCCCAGGGAGTCATTCAGCTTTCCTGCTGCTAGGCCTCTTGTGTCAAGGGGACTGTGGCCGAGGCACCATTGAAACTGCATCCCCCCAGTGGAAACTTAATTCCAAGTCTCCCTTTCCCCTTGGCCTTGTGAGTGCTGCCCACCCCCTCCATATCTCTGAAACTGGCTGGTGGCCCCACAGTGGCAGGCTGAATGGGACTAATTCCACCAGCTTGATGAGGCCTGGACAGACATACTGTTATCCAAAATGCTTTGTCTTGATATTTTGTGTGTGTATGTATGAGTAGTACACATTCACATGTGTGTATGTGTGTTCACACGTTCACATGTGTGTATGGGTGGCCATTTTATTTACTGAGACAGGGGTCTTTCATGAACCTGGAACTTACCAATTTGGCTAGTGTAGCTAAACAGCTTGCTCTGGGAATCCCCTGCCTTTGCCTCCCCACCATACCCACCTGGCTTTTACTGGGTGATGGAGATCTGAAATCTGCCTCTCATGGTTGCAGGACCAGTGTTTATCCTCTGAGCTGTCTCCCCAGGTCCCTGAACTGGTCCTTTTTGTTTGGAACATCCACCAGGATCGACCTTGAGAAACTTCAGAGCAAAGTTTCCACTTTCTGGAAGTGTGGAGAGGGTGAATGTGCGCATCCTCCAGAGAGTCTGCCTTTTCGATTGCTGGCATGGCTCTCCCTGCTTAGAAAGACCCTGACCCAGCTGGGGTGGGGACAGCCACAAGAGAGGACACTTGGGTGGCCTGGGAAGATACATGGGGCTA